TATTAATTAAAGAGTCAATTTAAAACAAGTATGAATCTATTTGAAAACTTAAATGTACAGTACTTGATCAGGTCAGAGTTCGACATATCCAAAGAAAAATTCTTGCTACTAGGAGTGCCAGAGACAAATGTATCTTTAAGAACTGCTGCCAGGAGAGCAGCTTTAGGAACAAGCCAAGGATTTGTTCTCTGTTTCTGTATGTCGAAGAGGTGCTTTTGTAAGAAAAAAGGCAACTTGTGTAACTCGAAATGCCATAATAGTTTGCCTTGCAATAACAAAATGTAAACTTAATTTTTATATTTATGTTTCTTTATTGAATGATTATTTTTGTATGACTTTAATTAATATTACTGATGTTGTTTTAGTGTTAATATTGCCGACATGGCTCTGTGATTTTCCTTAAAAATGTTCCTATAGTGCAGTGGTCCCCAACCCCCGGGCCGCCCAAGGAACATTAAATTATTGGTATTTCCATTTTATTTACTACTAGTAGCCCGGGACGCCCCCTAGTGGGCGTTCTTTACAAATTTCCATGAGGCACGGTTCCTTTGACTTTTTTGTTCCTATCAATATGCTGTACAGTTCTGTTAAAGTCCCAATGGTAAGATTTACCCTCCGAATGAAGAGGTGGCGACCCCCCAAACTGTAGCCCCTGTGCGAACAATAAAGTCAAAGGAACCATACCCCTACTCGCGACCCTTCGCGAGATATAAGCCTCTGAAATAATAAATTCCTATTANTCATTTGTTTTTCTTACTACAGTTATTTTTTTTAATGTATTACTTGGCTTTAATTTGAGTATGTTTTTCGCGTTGGAACGAATTATTTGGTTTTACATGTAATCGTATGGGAAAAGATGATCCACCTTACGACATTTTCATGATACGATCTCAGTTTCGGAACAGATTAATTTCGTATCCTGAGGTACCACTGTAATAGGAAAAAAAATATTGTTAGTTTAATCGAGATCATCCACTATGGAGAAAATGACATATACTATGGACAAAATGACACATTACGTAAGGCAAAATGACATACACGTCAAAACTATAAAATTACTGACAAAGTTCACAAATGAAAAGCTTGGCTCTTTTAGAAACGTCAGCGCAAGAAGCGTGAGCCCAACGAAAACAATTTATGCACCGTAACCAGTCTTCTCCAGGCTTAGATAGGGAAAAAATATCATTGCAATATATGCATGGACAATCTTCTTCATCATCATGAGAGTTACCAGGAAAATTTTTTTCCTCCAGTAACTTTTTAGTAATGTTTCGTCTCCTTTTCTCTGGCGGAGCTTTTGACTCATTTTTTGATTTAATTGCCTTTATATTAGGAATAGAAGTTAAAACTAAAGAGGTTTGTCGAATCACGTGATTCGTTGCAAGTTTTTTTGTTATGTGAAAGATAATAAGTTTGTAAATAATACGTAGGAAAGGAAATAAAGTTTTATACTAAAATTTCTTTTAAACAATAATGAAAGACTTTTTTGAAAGCCATTTTTTATAATTAATAAAACGTTAAGAGGTTAAGTGCTACAACAAATTCTTGAAAGTTGAAATAAAAGCTACACAAATAGATAAAATAGTGAAAAACTTACCATCTATACAAAAAACTTGTTGCGAGGAAAAAACTCATAACGTATCATTTCTTGTCGTCGGCCATGACACCCGGGCGAATGAGAGGAGTGCGTTCACATTTTGACAGGTTAGTAAAAGCCGCTCGGATAACGTGCTATCATGGTCAGTTGTGCGCTTGAGACCGACAAATTCGAATTATGTTGCCTATGTCATTTTGTCCGTATTTCCCCTACTTTAGCATTTCTCTAATCCAAAGTTACACTTACCGGACTTCAACATTACCTATGCAAGGCCACTTGATCGCTTCGCTAGCGAAGCGATCAAGTGGCCTTGGTGTATGATTGATTAATTTTCCTATCGTTTTAATTAATTTTAATAACACAGATGTATGATCAATATTTTCAATAAATATTGTATTAAATAATACAAATGTTTTAATCCCAATCATCACTTTATTTATTTCCTCCAAACATATTTATGTAGCTAAAATTAGTTTTAACTAATGTTCAAAGTTAAAACTAGTTTTATCTAAAATCCAAATATGTACAGCAGTAAATTCTATCAATAGTTATAACTAGAAAATTCTAGATGTAGCAAAGACATCCAGCATAAACTAGTTAAAACGCGTCCTAACTAAAAACTGGTTTTGACTGCAACATATAGATTAACATAAGTCTATATAGATTAACATATACTATGACCATAATAACTCCTTGTGTAGTTTTTCATTTTAATTTATTTTACTCTTTTCGCCCTGTTAGCTCTAAAAAACTTTTATCAAGCCCATCCTGTTTTGACCAGACTTATAACGGGACGGTCGGGAGGTGAGGTACTAGTCCAAACATATTGGGGACAAACAGCCTATGAAAAATTCCTGATGTTTTTGGCCGCCCGGATTAGATCCCACGGGCAGAGATACACGGGGAAGGCTATGGGGGCTTAAGCAATCCCCGTTGACAAAAATTTTAGTTTATTTGTTCGAATTTCAAAAGGTGTTTTTAAAAATATGTACGATGGCAAAAGCAGTTTACTGAACTTATCCCAATATAATCGTCGTGGTCATGTTACTAAAAGCTTAGTGCCGTTTTGGTACTTCTGGATCCGACATTGATTCCGAGTCCCTCCAACAGAGGTAGGCTGACTCCTTAACCGCATGATCATCCGGCCAATCAAACTTTGATATTGTGGTACTACGAAAAGTTTTGCTCTGGTTGGAAATCGGTTAGAGTACACGGGACACCAGGCTGTGATCTATTCACACGCAGTCTGTGCGACACTGATGCTCGTTGTCATATACAGCATAGTCTAGAAACAAACGTCTACGCCAAGGCTGATACAGAGATGGGCAAGGTGAGCCCAAGGCATAATTGTTAGGTTGGCCACTGGTCTACGTATAGTAGACCAGTGGCCAACCTAACAATTATGTACAGATAACGATGATACTTCAGAGTACAACCACCTAACGATGATACTTCAGAGTACAACCACCAGTGGCCGATTGGATACATAGTTACCAACCATCAATGTTTTGTATGCTCTATCAGTGGACAGACCGCTTTTCCTTTTTAAAGACTATTTTTATGTTTATCACATAAACACTATTTAACGAGCCTAATATCAATATATACGCCGAAGACATTGTAGGTTGGTATATGTATGAGAATTTTAGCTCAAATGTGATAATTTTAAAAGGCATATAAGATAAATTACATCTTCAAGTCTGGTACCAGAATTAATTTCCCAATTTATTGAAAAGCTGAGGTTTCACTTTACCTGTCTGAGAAATAGCTTTGTTGACAAGTTTTGCAATAATTGGACAATTCTATCTGGGTGCATAATTATTTTGTCAATGAAAGTAACTGAACAAATATATTATTTTCAGATTATAATAACTGATTAAAAGTGGTCATTCTTGTACATTATAAAATTATATTACAGTATATGAGAATGAAAAAAAAGTATGACAGGTCAAGTGCTGTCTGGGCAATCAAAATATTAAACTTCAAAAACATTCTTTTAATAATTATTTTCTAAATTTACAAAATATAAGGACAAACGATATATTATAAACAATATGTCTAGAACATTTTACATTAATAAGATAACTGCTGTATATGCAGAGAAAGGAAAGAAACTACTGTATATATTGATGCTAGAGCTTTGATAGAAGCAAAAAAAAACATGGTAGAAATGATGGAGATAACTGATAATTTTTATAAAATTGGAATGAAAGTTATTGAACCTGATTCCTCAAATATAATAAGTTTACATTACTGTGAAGCGGAATTTCAAAAATGATGACTTTCCAAAGACAACCATTAAAAGAGAGAATTCTAATTTGTTTCAAGGTCAAGGATTTGTAAAATGTAACTAGAAAAAAGCAGTTGCAAATGAGCAAAGTTATTGTAACTCAAAATAATACTTTAGTCATTGTTTTCAGTTTTTATATTTTTATATAGAGGATACAATTTTAATTGTCTTTTTTGTCTTGTGTTATAATAATTTTTTACGTAACTTTCATTACACAGATTTTTATTTCACACTAAATTTCAAATAATGTAGTTTTTTAACCTTAGTGTGATAATTAATTAATTTCAGATAAATTAAATTAAATAGGATAAAATTGAAGCAAATATATATTTTGAACTTAACTCAAGATTTGCCCAATACATTTTAGGCAAAGTATGAAATTAAAAGTATTTTTGATTCTTTTATTTAATATGTAAACTTAGTTAAAAAGTAGAAATGCAATAAAATTAAATATTTTTAAAAATATAATAACTTCTATTAGTAATACTAACATTTTACCAGTCTTCTATAAACCTATAATAAGCAATATTTTTGTATGTTTAATCTTGTAAATCTCATTATATATAAGTAACTAATATATAGGGAAACAAAAACTTTTTTAAAGACTTATTTATTCCTGAACTTAGAATTTGGTACAAAGTTGATTGCTCTGTTTTGCTTTTTAACAGAATATGTACTCATTATATGTTAACTGAGACATGAGACACTCATAAATTTCAGGAATAAAAATTAAAGTTACACTAAATACAGTCTGATAAAACGTTTCTCAAAATTCAGGAACGTAAAAGATGAAATTCTAAAAAACACTCAAAATATTGCTTAAAAACAATTCATGCACACTTTATATTTACAAACTGTGTCCAAATTGATTTCAATATTTTGGTAATTAATGCAATTAATATAATTTTTTTAAAAACTGACTTTCTAATTAGCTAAACCAAAATCATATTTTAGAATATTTAATGGAAATTTTTGTATTCAATCTAAAATTGATTTGGTATGCACCATTTTTCAATTAGGAATAATTAAAACAGAATTTTTTAAAATTCATTACACACAAAATATCACAGTATACTCTTTTAATTAAAAATATTTTTATAATTATTTTAAACATAATATCAGAGAAAGAAATAATGCAAGTGTAAAAATTTTTTATACTCTAAAATGAAACATTCTCAATGGAGATGTATGGCAATATATATATATATATATATGACAAATAAATTTAATTTCTATTTACAAAGGATTCAATTCACAAGAAGTCTTCTTGATGTTTATATAAATATGAAACATATTTCAAATACACCATAATAATAAAAAGGCACTTTTTAAACTTTGAAGACATTATTAGAAAGGAAATTTACATTTACAATAAACAAGTATATGATATACATAAAAAAGGAAAAACTTTCTTTGCCATGAGAGCTATATACATGTTAAGATTAATTTTTACTTGATGATTGGTCAATCTTAAGACTTGTTTTGGCCCTCTGCTACAATTTGCATAGATTTAACAAAAGAATGATAAAATATGTTTATTTAATTGAGATGACTGCTGTACAATGATTATGAAAGTATATATATATATCTGATTACTGTACACATGTTTATCTCTAAAAATTCTATGTAGTAAAAATCTCTTACAGAAAAGTTGATGATGTCACTGACACACCGCATTATAAAATTTCCTAGACTTACAGCCTAACAAAAAGAGAGAAGCAGTCTGGAAGAGTGCCCTTCTTTGTTAAGTTCAAGTCTAAAAATTCTACTTTAATTTATTATCAAAAATTTTGTTTAAGAATAATTATTGTGCAATATTTGTTATATTACAATATATACAATACAGTGTTATATTTATAATTAAAGCTACATTTCGCTGAAACTAGCTGCAATTATTTTTAATTTAGATATTTCCGGCATCTTTTGGAACCACAAGTACAGGGAATTTTTTCATCTTCAATAGGAAATTTATAATTATAGGTGAGTTCTTCTCCTTTTAATATCCTAAAAAAGAAAATGCATGTCATAATTTTAAATAATTTAATTTATTTTATCAATAATTAATTAAAATAATTACCTTTTCAATGCAAATATTACAATATGTTTCTTTCCATCGACATTTATGACCTTGGAATAACAATTAGGCTAAAAAAAAGTTAATTATAAAAATGTTATTATATTTGCTTATTTTGTATATTATATCTATTACATTTTACTTTGCCACATATTAAATTACTTCACACTATGTAATAATAAAAAAATTAAATGCCCTTGCTCAGTTTTAAATCAAATAACAGACAAATTGTTAACTTATATATGAGTATTTGCATAAAAACATTTTTTGAGTATTTGGCCAGTTAGGCAATATACAAACAACTGGATTAAAAAAATTACAAATAAAAATTATAAATGTAAATTTTATTTTTATTCAGACTACTATTTCAGATAGAACAGAACACAAATTAGCATATAACAATATTAAAAAAATCTGTAATAATAAATTGTGCTTTGTATCTTCCAACTTTTATCAACTTAATACAAACATTTTTTACACTTATAAGACTATCTACTTTTAACTATTCACTTCATTATTCTACCTGAACCTACAACAGCATGAAATACCAATATTTGAAGGACGTAACAAATTTGATTTATTCATCCAAAACCCCTTTCAGTGATAATGCTAAATTAGGATTTTATATTACTGTATTTGATAATCTTTATTAATTGTTTTAATACAGTAGAAGTTTTTCAAAGGACCAATTTAAAAACTTCTTAAATAGAAATGAAAATAATCTGTATTTATTTAAATATTTGTCTAATGTAGTCTGCTTCATCCATTTTGTTATGTAACACAAAAATACATTTTTTATAATAAAAACTCTCCCGTGGTCACCACCTGGTCGGGGTGGGAGAGCCTAGTAATTTTACTGAACCATAGAGCAATGTAGGCTGGAGCACTAGCTCCTGGTAGGGACACCCATGCCAGTAAGGTCTATGGGGAGAAATGAAGCTAAGAGTGACCACACCCACATTCTGTGGAGATAATTATCATGGTAGTAACCAGATCAAAGTGTGATACTGGCTTGGATGTTGCCCGGGCTAACAAGGCTCACATTCGAAAAATAGGCTGCAGTCTCCCTTGGTTACCGGTGGCGAAAGCAGCGCCGGCCCAAGCATGGCTACTGCAATGCCCTCAACAGATGTGAGGAATCAACCTAGCCTTGGTGTTTCTGTGGCAATGCATCCACAGACCACAAAGGCTGGAAAACCACGCCAACGGATGAAATGGACAACAGAAATGAACGAGTTTATCATCCGCACTTACTACACCATCACAAGACTCGAAACAAACATGACAGCATACAGACAACAACTACACCACATATTCACACAACAATATCCTCACCTCACTGTCACCGAACAAAGGGTTGTTGATCAAAAACGAACAATTATACACAACAACCTTATCCCACAAACAACACTTGAACTTATCAAACAACAGGTTGCTGATCAAATACATCAACAGACAGAAACATTTAACATTAATGAAGATCACGTAACCTGTCAGGATAATCCAGCAACAAGCACTGATTACAGCACACACACAACAAGTACCACTAATGATACTGCAGGCACTTCCCCATCCATCACTGATAACGTAGACATAGAATTAGTTAATACACTCTCACTTATATTTCAGGAAACACTCACTAAATATACTGGTACAGATCCCACACAAAGACCACGAATACCAAAAATCAACACGTCAAAGGCAGTAGGAAAAACACTAGATTATGTAAACACTCACTTACTACCAAACTACATTCATTCAATTTCTACACTCTCAGACATTCATACATTAGTTTATGCTGGGGCAGTCACAGTAGTAACACACCATGGACTGAAAATACACTCACAGACAGACACACACAAAACACAATTCTATCACAAGCCTGCCTGGCAGAGAAGAATAGAAACACAAATAAATGACATTAGACAGCAATTAGGCAGGCTGACACAATACACTAAAAACAACATAACACCCAAATTAAAGAAACAACTCAAAAACATTTTCAAGAAAATTAAAACACACACAAAACATGAACATCACAACACACACATTACAGAATACATCGATACACTAAAACAAAAACTCGCAGCCAAAGCACGTAGACTCAAACGATACAAAACATGTACACTACGAAAACAACAAAATAAATTATTCACAAACAATGAAAAACTTTTCTACAGACAAATCAGTACCAAAACAAACACTGATACACAGCACAGTGGCACACCAACAGAAGAAGAACTCACAACTTATTGGTCTTCTCTTTGGTCCAATGCTGTTACACACAATGCTGATGCAGGCTGGATCAAGGAGGAGAACAGAAACTTGCATAACATACCAAGTATGCCCTGTGCTGAAATAAACATACACGACATTCGCTACGCTGTTAACAGAACACACAACTGGAAGACACCTGGTGTAGACAACATTCACAATTTCTGGTACAAAAAGTTTACATCACTGCACCAGGAACTAGCTAAACATCTAACACACATCATCATCAATCCACAAGACATGCCAAAATTTCTTACTCAGGGCATCACCTACATGAAACCTAAAAACAACACCACCATAGACCCCACACAATACAGACCAATTACATGTCTTCCAACACTCTACAAATTATTGACATCCTGTATCACAAACAATATACAAACATGTTGAAGAACATGACATTCTTACAGAACAACAAAAAGGTTGCCGTAGAAATCACAGGAGATGCAAATGTGAACCAGAGGGGAGGTCAGAGATCGCCCGCCTCTGTCACTAGTCAGGATGAAACGTCAGGTGAGTGAAGGGAGAGTTGCTTGGGGTCAACAATAAGGTGAAGGGCGTAATCGAGTAAAGGAGTCTACCATATTTTTAACAAATAAAAACACAATTTATTATACGGAAACTGACAACTTACTACACACTATACAAAATAAGCTAGTACTGGTAACTCTACAGATAAACACAGATGTCGGCCTCTCGGGTGGACCGATCTAAGATAGTATTCGTTTGATAAACACAACGCTCTGAAGGAGCAGGTTAACCAGGGCGGCAACTAGAAAGAAGAGACTGTGCAGTTTATTGATGTAGAAAAATCGAACCGAGCTGTTTAAACGAGCGAGAGCGAGTTCACCGAGTTTCCATACCTCTAGAGAGAGTTCCCGACGACTATGGATAATCTGGACCCACTACTACATGAGTTCCTGGAAACAGTGAGTACTAAAGTTATTTATGTGACTGAAGTCACATAAATAACTTTTTTTCAGTTCACTAAAGTGACTGAAGTTATTTAGGGCACTAAATAACTTCAGTCGCAACTTAAGCGCTGATCGGAGATAGATCTTCGGAGATCGGACTTCGTCAGGTTTGGAGAATCGGGCCGATGTCGTTAGTCCTGCGTTCGTTAAGCGACTCCCCCGAGAGGGGGTAAGAATGGCCTTTTATCTGTTTTAGTGGGGAATTTCCACCACGTGATCGGATGTTCATGAGTTAAAGGTTATAGGTGTTCCAGGGAACTATAACAAATGACGACATTTAGATGCTAACTGTAAACCTTCTTGCAAGATGAGATGCAAGTTCTGCAGAGAACAATGGATGTTGCGAGTATATTTGTTCTCCAGAAAATCTCTTGTATCTTCTGATAAGACAAAGCTAGACCCCACATTGCTAAGGGTACACAGGCTCGATTTTAAAGACAGTATCATCTGTGATCTGCCATGGTCTGCAAGAAGCCCTGACATAAATCCAATTGAAAATATTTGATGATATTTAAAGAGAAAAATGATCAAATTAGTTTTCTGAACTGTCAACCAGCTTCTAGCAAAAGAACAGAATTCCATTAAAAAAGTATGCCATTAGTAGAATCAATATCTCAAAATTGCTGAATAAATTACAAAATGTAGGGAGGCAACAAAATATTAATATAAACTTACAGGATACAAGCTTTTTTAGTTTTGCAGATTTCTGATTTGAAACCAATTAATGCTTATATGTACAGTATTTAGCGTACATGCCAAAAAGTAAAACATGCAGTAAATATTAATTCTCTTCCTATTGTATTATTGTCCCCATTTTTATGTCTCTACTGATCTTTGTAAGCATAATGTTAGCAATATGTGCAAGGGTATAAACTTTGCATTTTACATATATAGTGAAAACTGTTTAGGTGACCACCTGCATTCGACGGGCACCCGTCAAAATGGGCAAAAATTTCTGGCACGGAATAGTTTATCCATAGAGTCTTCGTATAAGTTACCTGTATTAAACGGCTACCTGTGTAACACGACCGCGGGCACTGATTTTTGGTCCGAAACAACATACAACACCTGTAATAAGCGAATGTATCTGGTCTAAACTCTCATTCAAACCCATCCTGGGCACTTCTCCCATCCTTGAAATTAGGTACAGGTGTTAATAAATTAGTCTAGCAACAAAGGAAATTCATTTTAGTTTGTTGGAAAATGTCCGAAAAATGAAAGAAATGCAAAGTGCTGTTGTTAGAAGATCGTGTTAAAATTATCAGAGAAAGTGAAAATGGTTTATCACAACAGCAATTAGTGGCGAAGTTTAACTGGGAAAATGAAATTTATTTTACCATACACCTACAGTATTTTCCTTAGTGGTATAAAATATTGTACACAAATACTGTAGGTTGATACAGAAACTATTTATCGCACATGTACTGTTTATAAGCTTCAAAAAAAAAATAAAATAAAATAATAATAATAATAATAATAATAAATAAATAAAATAAATTTTATCAAAAGATGAGATCAACCGATTAATTGTATCGTGTACAATATTTTATACCATTAAGGAAAATATTGTACACGATACAATTAATCGGTTGATCTCATCTTTTGATAAAATTTATTTTATTTATTATTACTATTATTATTATTATTATTATTTTTTGAAGTTTATAAACAGTACATGTGCGATAAATAGTTTCTGTATCAACCTACATTATTGTTTTTTGAATACTTTGCATGCAAAAATTATTTGGATATTATTTTTCTAAAAATATCGTGGAAATAAACACATTAATGCAAAAATCAGTTTTACAGGCAACCTTCCTTTTTCAATTCCGCAATGACAATCGTGGAATGTAATGAAATTGTATAATGAAACATAATAATAAAATCGTTTTATTATTAACTAGCAGGTGGGCCCGGCGTTGCTCGGGCAAAAGTAACGATAACTAAGATAAAGATTATTACGTTACAGTCAACCTTACCCGTTTTCACAGAATGCAAGAATTGGGTCCCCTTAGAGAATTTTTAGATGGGTCTAAAAATATGTTCGATTTCCCGCAAAAACGAAAAAACTGCATCTGCGTATCGCACGTCGCTTTCTCTTAACAATTCCATTGTTACGTAAGATTTCCATTGTTGACACTTCCATTGTTACTTAAAACTTTTATTGTTACTTAAAACTTCCATTGTTACTTAACACTTCCATTGTTACTTAGCACTTCCATTGTTACCTAACACCGCCATTGTTACTTAACACTTCCATTGTTGATGGAAGTGTTAAGCCTTAATCCTGTCTTTCTCCCCCCCGGGAGGAATTTCAAAAAATCCCTTCTTAGTGTGCGTTTTCGTGACGTACCCTAACTGTGTACCAAATTTCAGCTTCCAACTCCTAACCGTTTGGGCTCTGCACTTATTATTATTATCATCAACCCGTCTCAATTATATATAGATTAATAATTTTTCTTATTGTACTTAAGAAACTGTATTTTTTAATATTTAACATTATTTTTAAAGTTAAAATAAGATTAAACTAACGAATATCAAAACCAAAGTGATGTAGAGATAACGACGCGCTTGTATATCGATGGTGTAATACACGTAACTGAAGAGTGAACGAAAACAACCGAGTCGAATTAATTAAGTCGGAAAAATGAAAGTGTGCATTATAATCGAGAAAATGCGACTATTGTATTAATCTTTAAAATATTGGTATTAAATCTGTCTTATAAAATCATGACGACTCCTGTAAATCGAATTACAGTATCCGATAAGAATAAAATACAATACTAATATAGCCCTATCGCTGAAAAAATTTGCTTATTTTTGCTCATCTCCAATTTTGCTTAGTAGAAATGGCTAAAAAGTACGGAAATATGCTATTACAGGACCACCTGTCTAAAAGACCACTTTTTGAAGGAACCATGGGTGGTCACCAAAGACAGGTTTTACTGTATAAACAAAGTTACTTTAATCCAAAATTTTTTGGTTGACAGTCTCACAGCACTTCTAGTTAGAAAATTAAGACTTTATTGCACAAATTGAACAAGTGTTATACAAATGTATTTTGGGTTGTTGTAAACACCTGTTCAATTTGTGCCATGAGACTGTTAACCAAAAAGTTTTTGGATTAAAGTGACTTCATATACATATAGAATATACAGCATCCATATCACGTTTTGCATTTTATGTTGTATATAAAAAGAAAGTACACTTACTTCACAAGAATGATTAATAAATCTTGCAGCATTTCCATGCATAGTGGCATCAACTACTTCATTATCATCTATACGAAACATATAGCATCCGATACCCTGCAATAAACAATAAATTTAAAATAATAATTAAACACAGAAAGTAAAATTTTAATATTGAAGAAAAACAATTGCATATTTTATAAAGTGCTCACTTTGCTTTCATAATAAGCTTCTCGACTATCAGTTAGAATGCTCCGAATGACTTCACCTGCATATTCAATTATCATTTCTCCAGCATCAATATTTCTTTTACAGAAAAGTCCACGCCCATGAATTTGTGACCTTTATAAATATATTCATTTTTTAAATATATTTAAAATTAAAACCAGTTTTTCAATAAAACCTAAAAATCTATACCTATAAACTCCTACAGCTTCCTTAGCACTGTTCTTCAAATGTCTAAAGCGCATAGCCATTGGCAAATCTATGCTGGTTGCTCTGCGAGATGATTTGTGTTTCATCTCTTCATCACGTAAATAAGGTTGATATTGTGGAGGACAGCGATGCTTTGAAGCTAAGAAATTAAACATATCATAATCTTTCCTAGTTAGAAAAGGCTCAGATCGAGCACATCCAGTTGGGTTTAATGGTAACTGGAAAAAAGTTTATAAATTACATTTATATTATAGTTTCCCTCAATATTAAATTTCAGCACTTACCTCCTCTTCTTCAGGATGAGGAGGATGAAATAGGAAGTTATAATTCACACAATTTTTTGCACCAGGCAGTTGCTCTAATAAATATCTTACAGCATTATTAGTGAGACCCATTACAGAAAGTCCATCTATACCTATTAAATAATACATTTTATTATTATTATTATAACTAAAATTTTGTATGATTGAATATTTATTTCATAAAATTTACTTACCATTCTGACTTATATTCTTTCTCTTAAGATGAGCAGCTGTGCATGCATCTTGTACTTGATCCAGAACATTCTTCCATGCTTCTGTATTATGAAACATTTTCAAAATGAATTTGATATTAATATAAGATTTTTTTTTAATAAAATATTTATCAATAAATAGTAAATAAATAGTTCTGTTGTAATTAGGAAGACAATATAATTTTTCAAACATTCTCAAAATGTCAAATGTCTCTTTACCAAAAAGTAATTTTTACACTTAAAAATCCTATATAAGTTTCAAAAATAATAAATATAAATGAAATTCTTTAATTACTGAATTAAATCCAGATACAAAATATTGCTTAATAAATTGCAATCAAATAAATATTTTAGTACACTTGAATTAAAATTAAATTAAATCATAATTGTAACTAAAGATAGAAACTGGATTCTAAAAATTACATTTTATTATACAGTAGAGCATTGATTATCCAAAACAATTCGGGACTGGGGTTGTTTGGATAACTGATCATGTACGAAAAAAAATTAACCTATCCTGTGTTGAAAATTTTCTCCATTGTGTATCACTTTGCGTTGAATTTTCGTTGATTTTAAGCCTATTGAACATTTTTTTAAAAATAATACTTGTGGCTATTGTATCATTAAAAATTATTTCTTTTATTTTGCACAAACAAAATAAATATATTGAAAAATAAAAAAAAAACACACCACACACACACAAAACAAGCAAAACTCATAATGAGAAAAAAATGTGTCGTTCAAATACTGGTGCGTCCTTAAGTACTCTGTCATGGTTGCGCCAGTGCTGCCAGCTAAAACATGCATACCAACAAAAATAATATTGAAGGATCCCAAGATATAGCCAAATATTTGAGTGTCACAGCACTAGCGAAAATTTGAATTTGCCAAATGGAACGTTTTTAGTTAATCAATCCTCTACTATATTAAATTTTGAGTTCTTTATTCAAGATTTTGTGTATTATTTTTAGTTTAAATACTTACAAGGAGAGGACATGGCTGGCTATCCACCAATTTTGATCAGCTTGACATAATGAAAGTACATTGAAAATGAGTGAATATATACCTAAGGTTTTCATCCAATGTACCTTGCAAATATTAATTTTCAATGTTTGAAAATTCAAAAGTTTGTAGTGAATGGTTATAAGCCATAATAGACGATACATTCCACACCTGCTGCATATTATAGTTTGTTAAATGATCATTAATTAACAGTGGCTACCAAACAGGTATTGTTCTGGCATTGATTCTCAGAAATTTTTAAAATATTTTTTTATATTTTTAATACTTTTTAATTAGGTAAAAATTATAGAATTTTTAAATTTGTATATTTAATAAAATACTATACCAGGTTTTTCAATAAGTTTTGTCGTTCGATAAGAAAAACACGATTTTATGGTTTGAAATACATTTTATTATTCAATATAATCTCCCTGAACTTCAATACACTTGTTCCAGTGATCTTCTAATTTATGGATTCCATCCCTAAAGTGAGAATCCGGAAGACTGTCGAAATACACATCCACGGCTGCTATTACCTCTTTGTTCGATGAAAATCGTTTCCCACGCATGAATTTTTTTAGATGTGAGAACAGCCAGAAGTCAGAGGGAGCTAAATCTGGCGAATAGGGAGGATGTTGCAACAATTCGTATTTTAATTTACTGATTTTCGCAATGGTTTTTTGAGCTGTGTGAGAGGGGGCGTTGTCTTGATGAAAAATGATTTTTTTCTTTTTTAAACCAGGTCTTTTCTCACGAATTTTTACATCTAGCTGGTCCAAAAGGTTACAATAATAATCTGAGTTTATTGTTTTACCAGTTTGGAGGTAATCCACAAACAAAATTCCTTTTGCATCCCAAAAAACTGATGCTAACACCTTCTTGGCCGATTTCTGGACCCTAACACGCTTCGGAGCCGAAGTACCGGGTTCACACCACTCTTTAGCCTCTTGTTTTGATTCAGGATCATGGTGGTAGACCCATGTCTCATCCATAGTGATGAAACGACGCACAAAATCCTTTTTATCCTTTCTAAAACGCTCCAAATGTTGCTGAGAAAGTTGCATTCGAATGTGTTTTTGTTCCATAGTTAACGAATGCGGCACCCATTGTGCACACAGCTTTCTGTAACCCAAAACTTCAGCCAAAATATTGCTCACACTGCCTAACGAAATCCCTAGGGCTTCTACTAAATCTCTCTCGGTTAATCGACGATCTTCCAAAACCATATGCTGTATTTTTGCTACGATTTCTGGTGTTGATGCACTTTTTGGACGCCCTTCACGTGGATCGTCTTCAAGACTCGTACGACCACGTTTAAATTCAGCAACCCATCTTTCTACTGTTCTGATTGAAGGTGAAGAGTCCTTATACACTTTTAACAATCGTTCATGAATTTGTTTTGGTGCTACACCTTCCAAAAATAAGAATTTTATCACTGCACGATATTTGATTTTTTCCATCGTAAAAAAATACGACACGTCGACTTTGAACAGCTGCAAATATACGAGTTGACGGATCTACTTGAAACTTGACACGTGTTTAAGAAATAGTAGTACTATTTATAGAGTAATAAAGTGACGCTCCTAATAGCGCCACCTCTTATCGAATGACAAAACTTATTGAACAACCTGGTATAAATAATTGAAAATAAATGACAGTATATTTATCGTACATCTTATTGTTAATTTTTAAATTTTATTATATTGGCTTACAACTTGTCAGATGATATACTTGTATATCATAAAATATGTAGAACATAAATATTTCTTACAAACTGTGCATTAACACTTGAATTGTCTCATTTCTTGAATGAATGGGAAACATATTTTATCATGTCTTTGGAAACTGGAGAGAATAAATGAATGAATTTTTATAGTATCTTCCCTAGTATATAATTGACATTTATTCTGCAAAATCTCAACAAAAGTTTGAAATTTCTTAATAAAACCAGCAGATGAGCCTGGCGTTGCCAGGACAGAAAACAACAACAAAGATTAAGATTATTAGATTATTTTATACTTCTAATCCTTCTATTCTAGTAGCCTGGGACACCCCCTAGTGGATGTTCTAGCAGCAGTGATGTCATTCTGTGGTATAAATAATAAATTCCTATTACAAATAAAAATAATATACTGAATTTCTCATGGCATACGCTTCTAAAATGCAGCCAAAAATAAAAAAAAACAGCAACAAATAGTAATCTACTGAATTTATTGTTAATTTAAATAATAGATAGGGGTGCCCCTAGTGGCCATTTTTGGCATACAGTGACAGAAAGAAAGAATCCAGTTTTTCAGCTTTATATAGTTAATGTTTCATTTGTTGGAAGAAATAGACATCACAAGGTTGACAATATGGAGTACAGTGATGAGGTTGCAGTTGCTATCATCATCTGTAAACAATGTTAAAATGTTAAATTAATATGCCTCAATGTCATTAATTTATTATAATCTTATTTCATCCACTAGTACATATTTATTAACAGAACTTATTAAACTGGCTTTAAGGATACTGCAACTCAGTTTCACAGATTAGAAAATTGTTTTATTTAATTTATAGGTAAATTAAATAAAACAATTTTCTAATCTGTTCTAATTGTTTTATTTAATTTATAGGTAAATTAAATAAAACAATTTTCTAATCTGTTCTAATTGTTTTATTTAATTTATAGGTAAATTAAATAAAACAATTTGACTATTGAGTGACTTTGTTAAAATCACCAAGGAAGACTTCAGTTGTTTTTTTCACCTTTGGTGGACAAATTGGGTACAAATATTGTATATTCATATGGATATTTGCAACCAGTTTGATTTGTATTTACTATAAAATCAGGATAAAAATGTAAAATTTTTTTTTGCAATTTGCTTCCAATACTTCTGTGCTTCTTTTAAAATAGTAGGTAGATCTAATTCATTTTTTGATTTTAATTTTGTAACCTTTCTTTGATGAATATAATTAGTAGTTTTGAATTAATAAATTCAAGACCAATCCATGTGATGATGTAAAGTAAAACTCTGACCTTCAAATTGGACAGCAGATTGTGAAGCCCGGTGCTCTAATATTTTCATTGTCACAGGTTGCATCTACTGTCAGGCTTCACAGAAGCAATCAAAATACCACTTGTCAATCATGTAAAATTTTTCTTTTACACCTCCTCCTTTTCAATTTTCTTTGTCCATTTTTATAGATCCTTTTTAGAATGAAGTGCATTACCTCCATTCTTTTGAATGGTTTATAAACTCCAATTAGGATGTTCTCTTATCAAATTCAGAATTTTAATTTTTGTGTCAAGTGCTATGTATTCTGCTTTCAATTTTTTAGATTCTAGCTCAATCTCACTCAATCAGACACAATTGAATACAAAGTGCTACTAGATGGAAGCAATTTTTCTGGTGAAGATGATTTCAATTTGTACAGAATGTCTTTTCCATCATCCTTTTCTGGGATGTTTTCTTCTGACAGGAATAATTCTTCTACCTCATCAAAATCCATTCTTTAAAAATGTCAATAACAGTTATAGGAAATTTTTCACCTAAAGCTGTTGCTTTTTTCAACATGATTTCATTTGCTGGTCCTTTAGTAACATTTAACTTTTCCAAAATTTGGGTACAAAATTTCAAGCCATCCATAATATCCTGTTTTTCATATGATGCAATAAATGCAAACTCGTTGCTTTCAATGTCAGTTGTCAATTCTTCACTCATTGATAGTCAATTACAAACATTTTCCTATGATGCTGCCATTTCACAAAATTTCTAATACTTATATTATTTTCTAATAATTCTATTACTACTTAATATTTTGAATTTTACAACTAACCTCAGATCCTGCTTTGCCTTTTTCAAAATAAAACCAAAATCACTAGAAATATGAAGGTTCTGATTCACAGTTGATTGAGTGACAGTTCTGATTGTTGACATAAGAATTAAATATGCAAATGCAAAATTCTATAATTTTTATTTAATTAAAAAATATTTTAAAAATTTTCAGAAATAGATGCCAGCACAATACCTATTCAGCAGCTGCTGTTAATTAATGATTTAACAGACTATGCTATGTGGTGTTTGTAGAATGTATCATATCATCTATTACAGCTTATAACCATTCACTACAAACTTTTTAAATTTTCAAACACCAAAAATTAATATTTGCAAGGCACATTGGATGAAAACCTCAGACATGTATTTGATCATTTTTGATATACCAGTACTTTCACTACATCCAAGCTAAACAAATGTGAAGACCCGAATGAGGTTGACTGAGAGGTCCAAATGAAGGGTATCGATTGGAAATTTAAAGAGCTCCTTTTCAGACGTGAATGGAAAGATTAGATGTCTCAATCAAACAATGAAATTTTTGTGTAAATTAGTTAAACAGGGAAAGGAATAAAGTCGAGGAAAAGTGACGAGAGAGGAATCGTATTCAGTCGCGACACTGACCTCTCCCGCACCCTCTATCAGGTTTTGAATTGTCACCAGGTGATAATGAGAGACCAATGGAGAGGTGACTTGGGGGAAAACAGTATAAAACCATTGTTTCAAGGACATTTTAGGTTCTTGGATGTGCAGTTTCTCCTCTCTTGGTCGTGCTCCAGATATATGAAAAACAAAACAGAACCTTTTGGACCTTGTGGAAACATCATTCTCTGGGTGACTCCTAGCGATCTACAGACTTGTCGGTTCGTCCAATGAGAAGCTGCCACAAGCCGTGATAAATGCCCCGAACCTACAAAGTAGTTCACCATCTGCATCAAACCACAAGTAATGAAGATAGAACTTTTCGAACTCTATTCAGACTTTATCCGCACTTTTTGTGTGTGCTACCTCATCAATCAAGGAATTTGTAAGGAAATTTCTGTTTATTAAATGGTTACAAATGGTAAACCTGTCTTGGTGAGTCTTTCTGCACCCACTGACTGTTTTGACCACTCGACTGTTGTGATATTTTTCCACCCAATTGGCCAACCTCACACAAAATCAGTGGGTAGCCAGCCGTGTCCTCTCCTTGTTAGTGTGAGACCTGAAAGGCCCCTGGGTCTAAATCAGTGATTTTATTAATAACGTTAATATTTTGTTATAAAATATTATTTCGTTTGGGTGAGAAAAATAGATAACAGATGTTACTTCCTTTCACAGAAGTTAGAACATCCTCTGTTTTTCCCTTATCTGCGAAAACTCTCGCTTTGATGGGAAATGTTTACCCCTCACATATTCCCCGTTCCATCCGTTCTCACGGAGGAATCTTTGCATGATGATTGGTCGCCGATCGTGACATATAGAGGAAATTTGTCAGAATTCGGAGAGTTCAGCGACAGATCTGAAAGTGTCCAAACTCCACACATTTTCCTCCTGATGACCAATGCCCTTAGACGAGTCACATAGAAGAATTCCAGAGTCTGCACTTAGAAGTTATACTTTGATTTTGAGCACATATTGATCTCCCATGGAAAGAAGTAAATGAACTTTATCTCCGAAGCGTCCCTTGCCTACAGAGAAGAAAACGAACGACAACTAGAACAGGTTGTATGTTTCTAACGATTTTGTGAGCTCTCTCTCTCAATCACGCATCGGGTATAATATAAGTCCATATATCTCTCGATTTGTATCTTATTTGTAGTAGTTATATCTCTCGTTCATTAGTATTTTGTATTAGTTTTTATTTTCTTTGGTTTTATTAAATTTATTGTTGTTTGTTTATCAAACAAAATGTCTCTTAATTTGTGTCTGAATCAGATCTCATACGCGTGTTTGTCCGCGGATCGATAAATTGACAAACTGGTGTCAGCCCTGACAAACATCTGGACTTCACAGTTCAGATCTACTAGTGGTTATCGCTCTGCTATGAAATTTTTTAGATCAGATCTAGTGATCTGGATCGTAGAGAACTAGTCCCACCGACTATCTGCCTAGTAAGTGATACAGGTGTAACAACCTACCCTGTACCCCAGGCTGGATCTCACATTAGTCTTGATTATTTAGTTTAATTACATAATGTTTCTTTTTAAGAAGTTTTTGTTAAATTTAATAAAATTGTTTTGATTAAAGATAAGTTGTAATTTTTTGAATTGGAAGTTTTATATTGATCTGAATAGGAACATAACAATAATATTAATGTAATCTAATGTGTGTACATTAATGGTAACTATAATTAAAAAATGATTAAAAATTGCAGCCTGGCATATCTATTACAATATAATCATATAAATTTTTTAATTACATAGTTGAATTAATTAATTTTACAAACATGAGTTTGCTCACTGAACAAATTATAATTAAGAAACTATTATTGCAAACGTATTGAATAAATAGAAGAGAGTGAATATTCACATGAATTTTTAAAAGAATATTTATAAGAAATTTACTAGATAGTTTCTTTATTTAGTTTCAAAGTCATCAACAATTTAAATTATATAAAATCATATAAGAAACCAAGCTAATTATTATAAGGATGCATTTTGGCTAATATGCTATGTAATTTGGACAAAAAGTTATGCTTGGTTTCTTACATGATTATTCAGGGTGAGCCAAGATTGCTTAACACCATTATATAATTGAACTGAGAAGAATAAGGAAAATTTTTGCATGATAGAAACATGTTATGTCTAGAGCAACAACAATCTTTATGTATGTCAATCAGATGGCTGCCATCTTGAATTCATCTCAAAATTTTGAAATGTAAATGAGATCATGTAAGATATGAAATGAGGCTAGAATCTTGAGAAAATGTAATTTCACACATTAAAGTTATGAAGAAATAAATCTAACAACAAATTTCTGCTATTCCATGTGTGATAAAGCAATGTTGGAATGCTTCTAATGAATGAAAAACAAATACAGATCATCCTTATGTCTGAGAAAAGTTCACGACATTGCAAATGGTTTTAATGTCGCCTTAGCCATAGAGACCTTGTGTTGCATGTGGCATTGCACAATTGCAGAAAAATTTCTGAGAGACTGATCAGTCAAAGATAAGCAAAATTTAGGCATGACATAAACTCCTCTCCTTAATCATCATTTCTTCATACACAGTGAGAGTGTTTGTGATGCAATAGCCATATTTGGCTGATGCTGTATTAACCACTGGTAACAAGGGAGACTAGCATATTTATCAAACATGAGCTTTTTCTTAACTCACAAACATGAAGTATGCTTACCCAAATGATCCACAATTAATATTATACTAAGAACATGTCCAAACCTTTTTGTTTATTTCATAAGAGGTGAGTATTTGTATGTGCTTATATATAACTAAATCCAGGACAATCACTTTTAACATGTAGAACAGATGATGTAAATAGCTGCCTACTTTGGGTCACACACCACTCAAGGGTTACTGTTTCATTTCTCCCAAAGATCTTACTTGTATGGATGTCTCTACTAGAAACCTATGCTCCTACCAACTGTGCTATATAGTTTATTGGATCTAGCAAGTTCTCCTACATCAACAAGGTGGCAACTAGTGACAAAGCTGTTATTATTATTATAAAGGATGATCATGAATAACAGCCAACAATAATAAAATGTAAAGAGTATATTTTACTTTATAGATAATTTCCCTAGTCATTAAGGCAGTTATCTCACTGTTCCATAAGCCTTCAATTCACCAAAGACATGAAAGTTGCATGGGTTTCACTTGGGCTAGGCTTAGTATGTATTGTCCATACATGCTTGTCATGCATTGATAAATTTCCATTGGTCCAGTTCCTTTTGTGGTTAGGAATTTGTAGGCACATTGCTCTAATTTATATGCTTGCATTCTACTGTAGGATCACAAATACTACTGGTTGCCATGCCATGCTGCTGTTTACATTACCTGTTAATTCCTGCTAGGTTGAATTGCTATACAAATTACTTTCAAAGCACTGCACTCATTAGCTAGTTATTTATTAATCATCTTTATAATATCATAATATCATATATTTAATTATTATAAATAAAACAGAAATGAAACAAAATGACAACATTTTTATCGTTTGACAGTCATTTTGTATTTCAACACAATGCTGCTTATGCAGTTCCATCTCATTTTTCTCTTTCACTTAGTAATTCTTTGTAGACAAAAGTATAAAATAAAAAAAATAAAGAGTAAAAACAAAACGTTTGAAACAACATTTCTTCTAAACTGCATACTAGTTAAGGGTGTTATTTTCAACAGCAAGTTCAGAGGTGTGAAGTATTCAGCAGTGTGAGTTATATAAAAGTTTTATTTTGATTCTAGCAATTCAGAAGGCTATATGCAAGTTTGGGTTATAATCAGGAAATTACAATTATTAATATTTAATATTTTATGTATTGTGCAAATATTTCTATATTAATAAACAGAATTTAAAGAAAGTATAAAATTTTCCTACCATCAATATTTGCAGATTTTATACATAGACCATCTTCATTACTTATTTCAAACATGATATATGGTTTATTGCTAGGATGATTCTTTTCATCATTATTCTTAGAAGACATGTTATCACTTGTATCATCTGAAATAAATTTAATAGGTAAATATATTGCTAAAAATATACTTAAAAATGTGATATATTCAAGATACTGCATGTCAATTTCTTTTGAATTAATATCATTGTTTAATCTGCACATTTCAGAGTAAAACTCATCTATATCTTAACTATCTTGATGTAATAGTACTATAAATCATTGGGCTGCAATTTGAAAGAACTATAGACCTATAAATTCCCACTGTCACCCATCTGTTGTCTGTCCTTCCTTTACCTTGAGAACAAAGTTAGATAGATGAANACGTGTGCCAACGGGTTAAAAAATTTTCCCCTGAAAGGAATTAGATAGACGACTGGCATAATTCTATTGCTAACAGGAAAAGTATGATGTATAGGGGCAATACACCACTAATTTGAGATGGAGAGCATATGTTTGAAATTAAATATATTAAAGTTTATTAAAATTTAAATTTAAATTAAATAAATTTAAAAAATACAATTAAAAATTGCAGCCTAGCAATGTGATGATGTCAGAATAATTAATTATCATTAATGAATTTATTTAAAAGGTAAGAAAAAAAGTATTGCAAATTATAATACAAATATACTAAAATTGTTTGCAATAATATTGCAAACAATTTTAGTATATTTAGTCAAAAATAAATCATGTTTAATATGAAAGTGATAAAATTACAGTAAATAAAAAATTCATCATGTGAAGAAGAAAATTGCTTCTTATAAGAAACATTTCCAGCTGAGTGCCAAAGAAATAGAATTTCCAATAGAGTGCTGCAGATAAAAGCAAAATACAGTATAAATCAGTATTTTCAAAGGATATCACTTTGATATAGCTTCATGTTATAATCACAGAGAAAAATTGGAATATATCATAATGATAGACAGTTCAACTATTTACAATTCCTTTAATTTTTTGACTACTTTTAAAATTATAGTCTATGAAAATGTTAAAGTATTTAATTGTATAATTTCAACATCTTATAACATTAAACTATTTTAAATTATTTCAGAAATTACTTTGCATATCAAATAATTAAAAATGAATTTAAAATTATACTTTATAAACATAAGCACATTATTACATGATAAAAAAATTCCATTATATCTCAAACTTATTAAATCTACCTTGAATCGAAGATCTTCTTGATGTTTTTCCAGACGTAACATTTGAACTAGATATATCATTTTCACTAGAGGTAGAATTTCTTCGTATTCTGGCAGCTTTGTATTTTGATCTTGAATGAGAAGCACAACTCTTTGTAGTAGAACAAGGTTTTTCATTTTTTTTTGTTTCATCAGAGTTAGTTTTTTGATTAACATCAGCATAGTTTTTGTAAGTTAATTTCAACATTTGTTGAGCCGCCTTTTGTATCACTTCAATCAGTGGTTTATTAGTAGTTAGTTTTTGTAATTCAGAGAGTGCAGAATTACATTTTTCTAAATTCTTTGGAGAAGCAGATCTTTTCAAACTGCTTTTCGATGCTGTGCTTTGAATATTTCCATTAGTAATTGACTGTTCTTCATTCACTCTATCAGTTTCAACTGAAATACTTTTATGGAGTAATCTATCAGAATTTTGAGGTAAACCTGATTTTAAATCCTGATTAGAGGATGTTGTATCTACAGATGAATGCATGTTATTAACAGGTAAACTGTTTGCTAACCATGGTTGTTCAAGATTAGTTGGATTGAACTCATTTGAATTTGGAATAAATCCAGCAGACTGAACAGCAGGTTGAACTGCTGCATTTCTGGGCATTTCATAAACTACAGGTTGTGAAGATTCAGAATTCATAATAAATACGGATTCACTCACTTGAGTTTGTGTCAATACAGGATTTAAATACATAAGAGGCTGCTGGGGATTCATTATAGTTGGATGAGGAACAAATGTCTGAGTGTTTGGAAGCTGTGGATTTAGTAGAGGAAAATTTACAATGGGCAACTGCATATTAGAAGCAATTTGTGAAGTCTGAACCTGATCCATAATTATCCCAGATGGCACTTGCATCGAAGAATCCTGTACATTAAAAGCCATAGAAACTAATTCTTGATTAGAGATAGTAATAGATCCCAAGTAAGATAAGTTTGGATTCTGAACAATATTTAGACCTGCAGTAAAAAGTTGACAGGTATTCTGAATACAAATAGGACGAGCTGCATTCATATCTGTTTGACTAGGAAGAATGTAAGAATTGTTAAGATTGTGAGTTGCCTCTTCAGGCTGATTGAAAACCAACATGGAATTTTCACTACTTTGAATATTAAAACTGCTTTCTGAAATTGTAGATGTATAACTGTTAACAACATTTACATTTGGTTTTGGAAGAATAAATTTCTGATTAGATTCTTTTTTCTTAGTTTTTTCTATGTTAAAATTTGAACAATTTTGTTGAAAAATATTGTCATTATAAACATCTGCTGATATAGAAGAATTACTTAATATGTTTGATTCTGTACATTCTTCAGAAAAATCATTATCATCTTTGTAGTAAGGTTCAGAGGCACTATCTGTTGTTGAAATCAAAGATTGTTTATCATTATCATTGTCGTCATCATTATCATCATCACCATCTTCATCATTGTCATCATCATTCAATTCTTCTCTGTTTGAATAATTAATTTCATCATTTGCATTTGGGTTTTCTTGTTGCGAATTTGGTAACATATTCATTTCTTCTTCATCTGATGAACTGGAGTCAACAATAAAATCACAATTCATTTCATGCTTCCTACAACTATCCCATGTCCTATATTGTCTTTTACAATTTTTACATTTAAACGTTTTTTCATTAGCAAGGTCTTTATTCTGATCAGCAAATCTTTCATTATTTTGGATTTCTGATTCTTTGCTATCCATACAATAACCAAAATTCTCAATTTCTCCAACAGCCACCACAATTTCATTATTTACAAGATTATTTAAATTGTTACTTTTCTGTACAGCAAAATCTAGTGGTATCTGATACAAATGATTCTTGTTGTTAGGTAAAAATTCTGAATTCTTGCAGCTATTAAGTTTGTTTTTTCTGTGATTAGTACAGTTTGATTTTTTATTATTAAAGATATTGTTCAGATTCCTTTTCTTTTTGAAAAGTAACTTATGTTTTGTTAAATGTTCAAAATATAAACGAGCTGGAGTCCTCCTCAACTGTCTAGTTTTGTTGGAATTTTCCATAGTTTCTAGGTGAATTCCTGCTTCATTGTTATTAATGTCATCACATATTTCATTTATGTTGTTTGTGGGAAAAGAGATGTCTTTGTATTTTTTATGTTTTAACCTTTTCTTTATATTCATTGTAATTTGGTTTTTATCAGTGTAATGTTTTAATAATTTAATGGATTCTTGATACCGGCGACTTCTCAAAGGATATGTCTTGAGAATTTTTTTTAAAGTACACTTCCTCTCTGGAAGCTTAGGACAAATGTTTTCCACTTCTTCAGATGGAAGTTGATGGTCAACAGACTGATAGGTATTGTCTTCATTTTTATCTTTGTTATTATTGACTTTTGACTCTAAGATTTGATTATTTATTTTATTAGAAGGTTCTAAATGTTCAATAATTGGAACTTGATTATTTGATGAAGTACAATCATCTTCATTTGGCACACTTTTTGAAGTTTTCATCTCAGATATATTTTCTGAAATTTTGTTGATAATCTCATTTTTCTGTGAAATTAAATCATTATCAGATTTTTTATCATCTTTAATCTTGGGTGTAGAAGTTAATTTACATATCATATCCTTAGATATTGTTCCTAATGATAAATCATTACTAGTTTGATCCATTTGATCAATTTTTGAGGCAATCAATTGATTTGAGTTTAAAATTTTACTTGAAAATGAATTGTTGTGAATTGAATCTTCTTTATTGGAGGCATTCAGTGTACTTGAAGATCTTTCATCATAAACAGAAGTATTTTTACCTATCTCTTTTTCTTCATTGTTTTTATTTAAATCTTGCAATGTATTGCTTACTAATGCAGAATTCTCACTATTAAAATCAAATAGATTTTTATTTTGATCTAAATGTGCAACTGAAGATTCTAAACTACATTCAGGATATAAATTATTCCTTCGTAGAGCCGATCCTTTAAATTTCCAAACATTTGACATTTTGTTCCGTCTATCATTTTTATCAACATTATGAGCAATTGTATGATGAGGAGATGCAACCTTTTCCACCATCTCTGTTTCAGGTATTACTTCTATAGTTCTTATCCTATAAGTGACTCTTTGACGAGGATTTCTTGTACTCCAAAATAACCTTGTTGCTCTAAGAATACAAGGTATAAAAATATTAAAAAAAATAAAATAAAAATTATTTTAAAAATAATTTGTTTAAGATAGTCTTACACAAATTCTACAGGTACCAATGCATCAGAACGATCAGATGCTGGAGTTAAATATCCAAGATTTTCAATAGTCAATGAACCTAAAATATTAATAAAATATTTAAATTTTAACTATTGAAAAAAAAAATGTAGATTTTAATAAAAACGAAAGCAAAATATATTAACCTATGGTTACATGAACACATCCAGCAGGTAAACCACTTTGCCAGGTTTTCTTTCGCCATTTAGGTGATAACTGATCTTGATCAACATACATTGAATGTTTGACAAAAAATGAGTCATCACCAATTTTCTAAAAAGTATACACATATAAAAAAGTTTAAAATGTTGGTTTACTATAATTTACAAACATTTTAATACATAAAAAAAATAATAATTAAAAATAAGAATTAATAGACCTTTTCATCAGCCCAATCTCTATGATTGTCACAATACACTTTTTTATCTTCTTGGAATATTGCCTTTTCTTCACGAGCACATTTGAAATGATAATTAGCAGGGCATCCTCTAATACAACAACCCACAGTAGCACCTTTATTCTTACAACTTTCACAACGCTATGTATCAAATATATATATAAGTATTTTTAAAACAAATTATTTCCATTAATTATTTTTTATTCTGTAAACTAGTTTCATTAATTCTAAATAAAAACTAACTGAAATTATTCTATACTTACCATTGATCTTCCTCTTGATATAGCTGGATGAACATTCTGAAGTGAACCATCTATTTCTTCAAAAACCTCTGCTGACCACAGAGCACAATTTATGTGTACCCAATCATTTTGACCACAATAAATTAATCGTCCACATTCCTAAATTTATTCTTTTATTAATAAATTAAAATTAAAACTGTATTTGCTCAAATATTATTTGTCTAGTTTTTCTAAATTTGGCTATCCAGAAATGTAATTCATTTTGTTCAAAATATAAATTTCAAAGAATAATTTAGGTTTATTCACTCAGAGTAAGTATGCATTTATACTTACAAAAAAATTGTTTGGTCTATATTATGTTATTCTCTTTCATTCTACATTGTTTATAATGTAGAAAATTTTTATTAAACTAAAACTATTGTATACATTTTTCTTTCATTGTAAACAATGAAAGAAAAATGTATACAATAGTTTTAGTTTGTATATGATAGTCTTAGTTTTAGAAACATTGAAGAAGATACAGTAGACCCCCTATAACGCGGTAGATACGTTCCGCTTTATAAGAATTTCGCATTGTAGGAATCCTTAAATACACGAGCCAATCACAGCCTGACACGTGTGCAGTTTATGGACTACGGCTGTTTGAAAGATTTTCTTCCATAAAATTAATCGATTCTAGACTAATTCGACTCAGTATTTTCAAAATATGTATAATTTTTTGGAAATAATCCGTATAAACTATGCTATAAACAAAAAATTATAGGATTACTTACCGAGTGTGCACCGTTCAACGTCGCCATTGCTTAAGTTTGTTTTCGTCGCGGAGCATAGCACCAAATGGCGGCCGCGATTTCTGGTAAGTTATTTTTCTGCGAAAACTTTGTTGAACTTTGGAGACATCATTAATAGAAATAATTTTTATGGCCGTTGAATAAGAAATGTTTCTTTCACAAGAAATGTATAAAATTACAGTGCTGTATTAGACTTACAGTACCTAATTTACATACTGTACAGACGATAGTAAACTCAACTTACCCATCTAAACTCTCCGTAGTGTGTAAGTAGTTCGGCTGCTTGTCTACTATTGGTCCAGATTCGACCAATTCTGTCGCAACATGAGTCGGCGATGACATTTTACCGCGTTTTACGCGTCCTTTTTAGCGTCTTTATATGAATACTGTCGCAATTTTTTTGCAATGTTATAGGAATTCGCGTTATAGGGGGGTCTACTGTATATCTAATTCTTAAAATGAGCATATACATATTTTATATGTATATGAAATATACATTAGGTGTTTTATATTAATATTCATTTAAATTTAAATAGATAAAAGCTTTTATCTTTATCAGCTTCTACAATTAACACAATAAACTGTTATTGTTTTAATTTCTGTCCAAGCATGTTCTTTAGATCAGAAAAAAATGGAAATTTGTCAAGGATAATGTGTAATTTGTGTATTAAGCCATTTTAATGATGTTTTCTTTTTCTTCCACAAATTATAAAGCACTTTAGTATACACAAACTTATCAGAAAAGTGAATTTTTTAATATGTTTGCATATAATAAATCAAAGAATTTAATACTACAGATATTAAAAATCTAATTTAATCTGCTAAAGTTATTTTTAACAGATGACAGAAATTTTGTACTTGAAATTTGATTCAAACTCTATTTTTTTTTTGTGGAATCAATAAAATGCATGTAATCATGTCATAAATGCCGCTAATCATAAGAGCAGACATGAATATTAACTGATATCAAATTAAATAAAACACAAAAGTAAGTTACTTTAAATCTATTTGTAACAAATTTTGTCTGATTAAATGCTGGGGAAATATCCAAATAGATTAAGTCATTGGCATTTTATAATTTCAAATTACAGTGATAGATTTCAATCTCTAAACTTAATTAAATATACAATCTGTGAGATGTGTTCAGTAATTACAAAGATATATAAAAGCAGATCTAGGAAAATAATTACAAAAAATTACTTACATTAGGAATAGCATCACCAAAAATTCCACAAAGAACACATTTGCGGGGATCATCTTTGCCACCTAAAATTAAAGACAATTTATTTGTTGCAGAATAAATTAATTATGAATCTTCTATAAGAAAAACAATCTACAAGAATATAAATGTAATATTGTTAAATCTTATTATTTTTTTTAACAATATCAAACACTCAAGAAAATATAAAAATAGTTACTTCTTAATTTTCCTGGTTGAGTCAAAGATTCTTTCTGTACACTACTAATTTTGTATATAGCATAATTATGATCATCATAAGGAGGTTTTACTACATGACAATCAGAAGGTTTTGATGATTCTTTGTCCCATTGAGAATGTTCAAACCATGGAAAATATAACTTTATCAACTGTAATGTTTAAATTAACTATTATTTTTATTTTGCAAATTAATTAGCCTTACAATATGTTCTGTTAATTAGTATGTAAGCATCACATTTAGAAAACTTATTTTGAAAACCTACTTTGTTAAGTTTATCCACTTTATGAGCTCTTGCTACATTATTTAGTTGTGGTAAAGCTAAAACTTCTTCATAAAAATTGCTCTAAAGAAAATACAGCCAATTTAATATTTAAATAATAATCTTATATAGTACAATAAATAATAAAGGAATACAAACTAGAACAGTATATTCTCTTCTTTCCAATTTATTCAAAATTACAATGAGTTTATCTGTTTTACCATCTGAAAAAATTTATTATTTAATACTCAATTACGTATTACTATATTTACAAAGAAATATAATTAAATTATTTACATAACTGTTTATAAGAACTTTTTAGAAATTTTTGTGTTTAAGTTTAAAACTTAAAAGAACTAACATATAAAATATGATTTATATTAATATACATAACTTATAAACAGATTTAATAATTAGCTATGTCAATATAGAATAACTTTATATATTGAAAAGTAACACCAATATAAATGCAACTGTTAGAAAGATTTATTTACTGTGAATATTTTATAGCAATTGTTTCATAATGTAAAATTCTTCAAAAATAATTATTAATTATTATTTGCAATGAAACTTATAATTATACAAATACATTGAAATAACATGACTCATTTTTAAAACTATGCCTATTTCACTCAAATTTCTTATAATTACTTCTCTTCTTTTGTCTTTCAAATGTTTTTACAACTTATCAAAGCTGTGAAATAGTTTAAAAGACAATAATTACTGTATCAATGTTCTTGATCCAGTGCAAGGAAAATGTTCTGTTATGTTAAAAATGAAAATGCTTTTACAAGTTTTTTAATTCAAACTAATATATGTTTCTCAGTAACAATTATTTTGTAAAAATATTGAAGAATACAAATAAAAATTTTTGTCTTCATAATCTGTCTTTTCACAGTCACCACTGACAATTCAAAATACACGAAAGTTCACTTACACAGATGACTTTTTATTTGAGACCACCCCTCTGTAAAAACACCATCAGCCATTGTTTTGATGAACTATTTGTTTTAATTTATGGGTATTCATTGCCAGGAAGACCTTTTTAATAAAAAACAATTTACATGTTTTTGCAGAGGCATCAAATTTACATGTTTTTAGCCTCAAATAAAAGGTTTTCTGTAAATGATCTTTTATGTATTTTGAATTGTCAATGGTGACTGTGAAAAGACAGATTATGAAGTCAAAAATTTTTATTTGTATTCTTCAATATTTTTACAATGTAAATTACTGTCAGCCATTTTTCATAAACAATTATTTTTTTCTACTGAAATACAGACACTATCAAATTATTCCCATTATATACATGAAAGGCAGTTATGCTAGTATGAAAGACAGCAAAATAATTTATTTTGTAAAATATACTTTTTGTTATTAAGTTAGTTTTATAGTTTTTAATTACTCATTCTTGAAAGTAATTTGAGAACTTTACTGTACTGAACCATATATGAAAACATTGAAATTATAACTTGATATCTTCTTTACATAATAAATAATCCAATAAATTTTGGAATTCATTAGTGAAAAGGATAAAAATTTAATATCAAAAAACTTACTAATACACCTTATCTTGCAGCCGAAGTTTATAAGAAAAAGAAACAAGACCAAAAACGTTAGAAATTTTTCTTTTTCTTATAAACTTCGGCTGCAAGATAAGGTGTATTAGTAAGTTTTTTGATATTATAGTATGCAGTCTCAAACGATTTATAAAAATTTAAATAAATTAAATACAAATGAAACCTTTTAACCAGTAACAGCACTTCAATGAAAACTTGAATGTTTTTTGCCTTCACCAAGGCCTACCTCAGGATTTTTAACGAAATCGAATTTCCAAAGTTGAATATCAGAACGATGTTTGAAAATCACATTTTAAAAATTTTGAATATCTCATCACTTCAATAACAACATTTGAGTTTTCGTTGAAGTGCTGTTACTGGTTAACCCCTGACCCTCTGCTTATCTCACATGTGCAGTTGTGCAATTAATCTTTTAATATTTAGTGTTATTGATTAAAAGATGGTATATATGAGGCATGATTTTTAAGTAAGTACCGTTTTCATATTAAAAAACACAACTGCATTTTTTAAAATAACTTTATTCTTACATGAAAGTCTGTACTTTAACTATACAAGGGTTGCTCTTAACAGCTCTAACGGCTATTCTGAGAGAGAGAGAGTTCACAAAGCTCTAAAATACAAATACCTCTGTGAGGATGACTAATATGCATTCATTGAATGGGCCGTAGGAATTGTAGTTGGTGCAGGAACTGTAGAATGGCAATGAAAGTTGTCTGTCGTATGGCAATGTCCTTTCGATTGCTATGTCCGGTGTATGGAGACATACACAGGACATATTACATTAATAAATATACAGTGGAACCCTGGTTAATGAACGTCCTGGTTAACGAACTTTTATTTTGCAAAAATTTTGTCTCGGATAACGAACGTAAAGGTATTTTGTGTCAAATTTTAGTTGGTGTTAGGCATGCGCGAGTTAAGCATTGCTTTTCCGAGTGTTTGTGCTATACTTCTTTTTTCAGTTTTGTGATTTATATATTTAATCAATATGGCATCCAAGAAAGAAAAAAGTCATAGTGGCAATAGAAAACGACAACGCAATATAAACTACAATGTGTTATCGCATTTTAGAAAAATTTTGATTAAAAGAGTAAGACAATCAACTTTAGATCAATTTCTTGTTTCTTATGGAAAGAGTTTGTTTCTTTGTTAAGTTATGGCAATGCAACACTTGGGCGATCTGACTAGAGGGAATGCCTTCTGGGAGGTATTTTTAAGGGAAACTGGCCCCTATTTAGGTGTTACAGACGTGGAGAAATCCCGGAAAACTCCACGTGGCCAGCCCGTCTGAGCGTGGTGCGAACCCACGAACGAACTCCCCGTGTTCAAGGAAGACCACTTAGCCACTGGTGGGTTTTTTTAACGAAAGATACTTCGACTCGAAGAATATTCCAATGAAGTGCTACCCGTTATTTTTTTGGAGGGGATTCCCCCTCTAAGCATTAAGGTTCGTATATCTCCACCTTTCTGCCACCAACTACAACAAACGAAGGTATGTACAGTGCTATTTTATTAAACAAAGTTTACATGTTTGTTGGTGTAATGATAGATACTACGTTTTTCTACATTTTCATCAAAGAAAATTACTGTATATTACAAATAAAATGACAAAAATTTCGGAGACTAGAACGGATTAATTGCATTTGCATTAATTTCCATGGGAAAAATTGCTTCGGTTAACGAACAATTCAGTTAACGAATGGAGTCGTGGAACGGATTAAGTTCGTTAACCGGGGTTCCACTGTAATTTCCTTTGGCCGCCCTGAGCTTCCTGGGCTCGAGCTTTTATATGTTCTTTGTGGGAAATGAGTCACGTGATTGACTTCTGTTGACACTAACGGTGCATTCCAATCAACTAAGTGTCAACTTTCCCACCTAATTGTGAAAACAACTGGTGACCTCCGATATAATTCTCACCAAGAGTATTTTTTTCATCGGAGTTGTTTACAAAGTTTTTTCCGACATCTGCGTAAAAATCGCGAAGCTCACACATACCAGTACACCAAACCAGTTAAACATACAACTGCATACCAGTATATTTAATATGATGAATGTTTTCATCGATATCAATCCAACATCTTTAAGTTATATAAAATAACAGAATATCAAATGGAATACAGAACTCAAAATTGAATTTTTAAATAGTCGAGGTTCAAATGTACGACATAAGCAGAGAATGTATAATATATCATAAAGAAATAATGTAATAAAATTAATAAAATATGAATATTTTGATTAATAAACTTGAGAGCATAGACAAAGTGCCACAGCTCAAACAATGCTNTCATAAAGAAATAATGTAATAAAATTAATAAAATATGAATATTTTGATTAATAAACTTGAGAGCAGGGCTGTGGAATTGGAGTCGGAATAGGAAAAAAATGTGTCGACTCTGACTCCCACATTTTAAATTTACTTTAGTTTTTTATTTAAATGAAAGAAAATTTATTATATGATATATTTATTAATTTTTTAAAATCTTTTTTGTATTTTGTTATAATTAATTTATTTTAAATACAAAATGCATCAGTTTAATTTATTAAATATGTACTATTCTCTGTAATATTTGTATTTAGTAGTTAAATTATTTTGACCCAATTGAATTTGAATATTTTTGAATCATTCCTTTATTATCCCTGCTCTAAATAAGTACTCTATTTTTCTGAATGAGCCAGACTAATTGATCAGAGTACATATTTTCTTTTCTGAACAAGGGGCTGAAGTAGCTATCAGATCACACACTTTTCAGTTGGACTAACTCTTCTGGAAGGGTGAAATTGAAGTGCAAATGCTGTTGAATATATGTAGATGTAGAATTTTATCCCTCCTTTTTCCTGTTATTAAATATTTGTTAAAAATTAATTGTTTTATATATAAATAAATATTAATGTAAGTTAAATATTAATTAAAAATACTAACTATAAAAGTATTTGGGTAAATGCTCCAGGCTCCTTTCAGTGTTCCGAGTAGGGTACCCCCTATGAGTGCCTCTGCCCCCATAAACCAACTTGGTATTTAATTTTGCCGGAGTTGGAGTCAGCCTACTAAAATTATTAGGAGTTGGAGTTGAGTGTTTCTTTACTGACTCCACAGCCCTGCTTGAGAGCATATATAAAGTAATTTACTACAGTTTGAACCATGCTTTCCTTGACTCTCTGATTGATCAGACAATCTGATTCTTCAAATTGTCTGATTCTCTGAAGTTGATGGCAGTCTGATTTTTCATGTCTTCATAAATTTCTAGAGACTACAAATATTTTAAATGTGCCAGATCTGATGTACTGGTGTGTTTTTAGATAATAAATATCTAGTTATTGAGGTGTTTAATATGGCACTACTGAATTTAAGCAAAGAATCTTTATACATTGAGGAAGTCTACATTAAATTCTTTAATCAAAATTGTTATGGCGCAACAAAACTAAATTTTCTTCAGATCATTAGATGTATAAGTGTAACAAAATAAATCAAATGCATAGTAATTATAATATATTAAAAAAAAAATCAATTTTTCAACAAATCAGGATTACAGAAAAACAATTAGTACATTTATCAAAAATAGAAATGCATAATATTTATAATTTCTTTTTGAGAATATTGAAAATGTTAACAATGTGAACTCAAAAATAAATGTAAATAGTTACATAGT